TGACCAAGTGGGATTTCCCTCATGAAGACTGGGTTATTTATTTTATATTTAGAAATGAGGCCTTAGAGAGAAGGGGAAGGATGGTGATTTTTTTAATTTTAAATAAATATATTTTAATTTGATAATATTTTAACATAAATATTATTATTATTATTATTATTGTACAATTTTATTAGTTTAAAAACAATTTTTTTATTCTTTCAATAACTATCTCAAACAATTCTTAAGAAATGACACCTTTTTGCTTAACCTATATATGCCATCAATTTTGGATTTAGTTAATCTAAAGTGAAAGATTCAAAAGTAGATTGACAAATTTTAATTGATAATTAATATGTTTTCGTTATAAAATGTTACGTGAGTTAAATTCCAGAGATTCACTAAAGTTAAAGATACATAGAAATTGGTCACATGTAATTAAGGTTATCACATCAGAAATATAATTTAACTTGTATTTTTGTGAGATACAAATTTAATTTTACCAGCTAAACTAACTTTTGATGAAAATTTAATTGATGATTGAGAACTTAATACGTAGATATTTACTACAAATTAAACTGTTAAATTATTTAGTTAATAAATATAAAATCTTTCTTCATCCTCGAAGTGAAACCTGTAATTTGTCAAAATTTCTGTTGTCCCAAACAGCTGAATTTCTGTCCCCTATTATAGCCCCAAAGGAGGGAACTTTTACTTAATTTGGAAACAATAGGGAGAGCCAACAAAGCAAAATAAATTATTTATAGCGACCCAATGAGAAGAGAGGTTGCAAAACCACCCTTGATTACGTATAGAACTTTGCTTCTCCCACCATATTTGTTAAGCATTCACCAATAAATGACGATGTTGGATACTGGAAGCTTTGCTTGGACGTTGATTGAGGGTGAAGTGGCCCTTCAAGAAAATTATGACACACATTCCTCTAAGGACAGATGGGAAGTCGGGGGTTCATGAAGTACTATTTATTTATTAACGAAGTTGACAACCACTACTCTTCTTCACCCATGTTCATTAGCGAAGCTTAGGCCTTGGTTAATTGAATCATCATGAATAACGCGCGAAAGTTTATATACAATTTTTGGCTTAACACATGTAATATGTTAACCAGTGTTACTAGAGTACTAATTAAGAAAATGATTATTTTACTAAAAAGCTTATTAGATGCAACACGGCAAGATTAGTGGTTAATGAAAAAGCCCACAAAGAACTAAAAGCGAAAGTTTGACATGTTTTTAGTTAGGCAGACTTTTGCATCACAGTCCCTGAGACTTGCTATGAAATGGACAAGGTCCATTTGATTAACAAAAGTGACCCCATTTTCTCCCAAATGCTCCGGACAAGGTAGCAGCATGTAAGGATTGGCTAAAACAGTAATTCTTGCGTTGCGTGAGCAATGTGATGAAAGAGATGTGTGCCTTATCCCAAAAGGCAACTCTTGGACAAACGTTTTAATCTCTTATTCAATACAGTGGATTATAATATTTTCATAATAAATTATTATAATAATTTCTTTTAGTTATACCACTTATTATTTTATTTTATTTTCTCCTTTTTTCTTATCTTTATCTAATCTTTATCTAATTTATAAAAATATATGCACGTTTATTGTATAACTATCATTTTCTAGTGAATACGACGGAATGCCGACTTGAATTTACCTCTGCAATATTCATATTCACCAGTTCTGTCCAGAACATGTAATTCTTCTTGTGGGAATGGAGATCAAAAGCTACCACAGTTCTTAAGTGAATCCATTGTCAGACATTTTAGTTTTTTTTTTTTAAATACATTTTTTGTAAAGTATTAAGAATAAGAGGGATGATTATTATACGCTGAGCTTACATAAAGATGTAATATTATTCTTTTATTTATTTGTGGCACAACCCCAGAAGCGAACTAGGTTCGGTGTCCTTCCTTATAAGTGAACAATCTTGGACCCAGCATGGAAATTACCTTCCACATCGATGTACTTCGAAAAAAATACAACTTTATAAATCTGTACCGACAAATCTACAAGGCATGAGGAAAATAGCATTACATAAATAAAGAAAATGGCAAGGGGATATGTAGGGGTTATTAACTTGTACGTGGATGATCATCTGAGTGGGATACCCACCATTTGGTTGCGGAAGGAACTCAATGATTCATTCACTTGCAAATGCACAAGATGATGTCTCCTTGGCAACTGCAACTAAAAGGGCAAAGAGTGAGTGTTAACACTTCTTCCCTCCACCCAAGAAAACTTCGAGAAAGATATAATTAGGGACGAAGAAAATAATTTAATGAATTTTATAAAATTTAAGCCTGATTCATGATAAGATCTTTTAAATATGTAAAAATTTTATATTAAAAATTAACGAGTCTAAATTTATATATAAGTTAATAAATTTAAACATAGATCAATAATTATATGTTCACAAAAATATTACATTAAATTTTGAATTATTATTATCATTACTTAATAGACTTTTTCTTTATAAGCTTTAAAAAAATTTACTTGATTTTTTTAAAAATTAGATAAGCTGTTATATACATTAATTCGACTTATTTAATAAATAAATTTGAAATATATAACTTAAACTTGATAGAGGTTAGATCATAAATCCTTGACAAGAGTGTAAATTATTTAAACCCATGATTATAATAAAACTCAACAATTCAGATTGGACCAATGGTTTATCTACAAGTTTGAGTAGTTTTTGTTTAATTACTTCTTTTATTTGATGAAAAGCCAAGTTCACAAACCTAGAGCACTAAATTAACGACAACCCCCCATTCTTTCATTGAACATATTTATTTGATGAAAACACAATGTAATGCTTTCCCCCAACAAAGGATAAAAAAGTGAAGGCTAATCGCAATTGTTTGCCAACATAATGCCACACATCTTATCTGAGAAGAGATGGGATACGTACTTTATTGCTAATCGATTAACATAGTCAAAAAAATTTGGCTGATTGTAATATATGAGGGAGACAGAAAGGGTAACATCATTCTCGAGTCTGTGACTGATTAAACGTTTCCAAATTTGGTGAAACCAATCTGGTCATGGGTTTTATAGGCGTCGAGTTCTTATTGGCCTTGAAGGTGTTTCTTTCCAATAGGACTCTGACTGCAGGTCATAATTTTCTTCTCAAAGAATGGCTGGGAGTGAATGGCACATGCTTGTTCTTACCACCTATACTCTAGACCAAAGCAATATTGGTGTCAGTGAAGTACGCATTCACTATTTGTCCTCTCTTTAAGCCCTGCTCAACATCTATTATTGCACGGATGAATCCACCAAAACCATGCATCCAAACTTGAGCTTTTAATTAATCCATCTTACACATCTAGTGGGTTAATCAAAAACAATTTTAGAAACTTGTGTGTGGATACTTAGGTAGGGATCAATTAGGAAGCAACAAATGACACATCACTGTAATTTGTTTGTTAACCTTTATGAATTTTCTTTTAAGGATGGCATATGTTGTGCAGACCAAATGGGTATGTAGATATGTAACTGTTTGAATACTCATATTTTTACATTTATGCCTAGGTTACTAGTTATAACACTTTTACATTAAATCTAAATCTATGTCTACATAGTTGTTACATGCACGAAATTTTTTAAATTACTAATATATTCACTTGATAATTTAAAATGCTCCTTAATTACATGGTTAATGCAATATATATTTAAAAATTCCTAATCAGTAAAGTCTTTAAAATAAAGATACCTTGGTTTTAGAGCAGAAAATATACTCATTATATATTATTAACAATTAATTACAGGCAGCTAAGGCATGAAAAGACAATAGAGTATGAAAAAAATATATCTAGGGACAGCAAGGTTGGCCTACGAACGATAGAAAATGAAATGGAGGTGAGTTGCTTCTCTTATGTTTAACATAATAAATCGACGGATAAAAAGTAATGAGTGTTTCCTAGGCATGCATCAAGTTTGTCCGGTGAATGAAGGAGGCTGAGGGTACATACATTACAAAGTGGGTGATGGGTCACCAGTGATCACCACCATGCCAATGCAAGGAGCTTAATGTAAACCTTGTCGAACTTTTGTATCGTACACATTATAATCCATGGCATCATATGTCGTACAAAAATAAGTATTGGCAAATGGCACCACTGTATGTGCCTCTAAGACTTGGAAGTATTGCTATTAATTTTTGATTGTGAAAATATAATTATCGATCGTATATATGTATATATTTTATGTTTTTTTTACGGCATTAAAGTGAACAGTGTGACAGTGGGATTATAGGAGTTGGTGGGTGGGCACGATTAGTTGGATGGAAAAAGGATGCGAATGTGACAAAGTACTAGATTACAAGTCAACCAAGATGAAGATACCTATGGTTGAGCTAGTCACAACGGAATTGACATTGTATAAGGCAAGAACGGTGGAGCGGGAAAGGGATTCACGAGCTGATAAAAAACAGTGCATTCCAAACTGTGCGTTAAGAATTAAAAGCATTTATAACAAATAGATTTATGACAGAGTTGAAGATTACCCATGTTTTGGTCAACTTGCCCTTGCAATTAATTAGCTTACATCTAAATGTACTAGACAGGCCGGCAATGCCTCAAATTGAAGGACCTTAGATAATATGTGTGCTTCACTTGAATCTGACATTTGAAAATTCTAGGATATATATCCTTTAACGGGTTGTTGGGTGGTGGTGTCATTAGTTATTGATATTTGAATCACGAGGCAATAGGGCATCCATTATTCCTATTTCCTCGAATACACATTTTAATGAATAAAAAGGCACAATATTGATCTTGATATAGGACCACGGATTGTGCCTAGTTTTATTTATTTATTTATTTTGATTGGTGGTAGAGACACATCATTGGATCAAGTGTGGCTCACTCTCACTTACGTACACTTGTCTGAGTCAGCGTCATCTTGGGTGATGTTAGTGAGGACGTGTGCAAGCTTATACCTGTGTTGCCGTTATATATAGCATAGTCGTGCGTTTACACCATCAACCGTTCATCCATTTTGTCAAGTTGTGGGACATAGAAGCTGCTCCAGTTTGTGTGTGTGTGAGAAAGAGAAAGAGATGGAGAAAGAAACAGAGATGAAGCAATCCAAGTTCAAGAGGATTTGTGTGTTCTGTGGCAGTAGTCCAGGGAACAAAACTAGTTATAAGGATGCTGCTATTGAGCTTGGAAGGGAATTGGTAATGCCCCTCGTTCTCCTTTTGGATTATTTCTACTCAAACAAATTTTTGGTTCTCTGAAATACTCTTTTTTCTAATGTCATCTTACTTTTCTTTCCATCAATTGGGTTTCTCATGTGCTGCTTTAAGATTTTCCCCCCTTATTTTATCTTCAGCGACAATTGATGACTTTGAATTACGTCAACTATTCTCTCTCTCTCTCTCTCTATTTAACTTTGCTTATTTTTGTTTTCTAATGCTTGTTTTCATTTTTCAACTCTTCTGTGCTTGTATCTTTTTACTGTCTACATGATATTGTGTTATTGATGTAGCTAATTTTACTTAATGAAATAACAATTGATTGTTGTTATTGATATATGTATTTTAACTGATACAGTAGGATTTACAATCCGACATAGCTAACTTGTCTTCTGGTAGGTGTTCTTTGGTGCATGATATGTATCCAATCCTTTCATCTGAAGTGGGGGGGAAATTGTCATCTGTGACACCGTCAAAACTACAACCTTTTTGAAGTTTTCATTTAGTTTCTCGGATTTTTCATGAATTTTCGTGTTTTTGTCTAATCACAGGCATATATAACTTGCTTAGTTTCACTGAATAAGAGTTATTGACATGTATTAATATTCTTTGGTATTCAAAAGGTGTCAAGAAATATTGATCTAGTGTATGGAGGGGGCAGCATTGGTTTGATGGGGTTGATTTCTCAGGCTGTTTATGATGGTGGTCGCCATGTAATTGGGTGAGCATTTTCTGCATTGGTGATGATATATTTATCTATTTTGTTCAACTAAACTAATTTTGGTCTTCATTTTGTCTGCAGAGTTATTCCCAAGACACTTATGCCAAGAGAGGTAATGTCAAGGTGTTTTGGAAGCATTTCATTAACCATCATTCATATTGCAAATAAAAAGAAAATGACCAAACAGATGTGCAGGGGGACACACAGAAAGGGAGACAGAGATAACTATCTACATCTTTTTGGCTACCTTACCACAATATATATGCTCTTCTTCCTCACTTGTTATGCTATTTTAAGTGAATTCCCACCATTCTTTTGTTATCTCAAAATTTGAGTTTCACACTTGTCTTTTGTTGTCATTCAAAGTCATGTGCGGTTCAAATGTGGAACTTGTTGTATAGAGTTCACATTTGAGACTCTTCATAAACTTATCCATTAATACACACCTGGCAAACTGGGGTCTTTCCATCTGAGTCATTTTGTCCTTCTCTCCTAGTTCCATATACCCACTTTAGATTCTTATGGCATTTTAATTCTTATGATTGAAGAAGGTAACTTTCTCAATCTTTCTCTCTTCTGACTCTTATTTGTTTCTTCCCCCGAGGAGAAAAGCTTAGCCTACTTATATTCCATGATTTCCAATTGAGCCCACTTCTGCAAGGACTGCAACACTCATCATTGCACCGCTCCCTCTAGCTAGCTTCTTCCCTGATATACACAACATGGCATTGGCATGCATGATGCATTCTTTCTCTCTCACACACGCGCAAAAGCTGCTTCTACTTTATTATGTATCTGTTTCAGTGATAATTTGGATTGATTTGTGTGGCAGCTTACTGGAGAAACAGTGGGGGAAGTGAAGGCTGTAGCAGACATGCATCAAAGGAAAGCAGAGATGGCTAGGCGCTCTGATGCCTTTATTGCCTTACCCGGTTGGTACAATCTCCTCCCACCATTTTTTTATTCTTAAATGCATTTTTCAATTAATGTTACATGATTCAATATTATTATTATTACTATGCCCCTGTTTAATCAACATCACTTGTTATGGTAGGGGATTAAATATTTTTTTATTAAAAATGTAATGTTTTTTATGTATTGAATATAGTGATTTTACATATTTTTTTTCTTTTCTTTTCTTTTGATGCGTTAACCATTACAAGATAATAATTAATGGAAGGGTTTTTATGTTATGCCTATGTTTAATTGATATAAAATTGACCTGCAAAAATCTTATATTCAAATTAAACATAATGATGTTCGTGGGTATTGTACGAGTATTTCTTCCTTGATAGTGTTACCTCCACAAAATTTGTACATGTGACTAGTCAATTTCAAATCATAGTGTGTTGGAACACGAGAGTAATAAAGCATTAATTGTAAGGAAGAAAAAACCCTTTTTTTTATATATACTTTACTAGGACTACTTAATAGAGTTGTGAATCATATAACTAAATCAAATGAATTTTAATTTCGTAATAGCCTCCATTTTTTTTTTCTTTTATTGATTGTAAATTTATTGTAGCGATGAAAATTAAAATAAAATGAAACTTCTTCAAGAAGTGGAGTATAGAGTATAGACAAACTCCGTACATTATTCATTGAGATTTTTTTAACTCACATGACGGGATGCATCACTTCGATAATGCATCGCATGACGAAATTTCTAAGATGAGATTCAAGTATAAAAATATCAAATATCCGTTCACACGAACCGAGTTCAAGCCCAAAACGATGCATCGTGTGTAGCAAGAATTTCCTCATGCTTTTAAATTTACCCATTTTATAACATGAAAATTAATTTAATTATATTATACCATATTAAACTGACATTAAATTAATTAAAATTTTAATTTGACTCACCTGAAATTAGATTGCACGGTTCATATTTTTGTAATCTACCGTTAAAATTTTAATCACAATTTCATGATGAAAAATAAAAAATTGGCAAACTTTGGACCTTTTTCTAAGCTGATAGCCCAAAAACGATTTGCACAAGTTGCACTGTACAAGCAAGTGGGCTCATTTGATGATAATAATAATCGAATAGTGAGATTACCCTCACAAGCCCAAAAAATATGGTGACAGGCCGTTAAGCCCATCTCCAATTCCCCATTTCTATTTCGATATCTTGTACTGGTATAACAATCTTTTTAAGCGGGCAATGAATGACACCAAAAGAACATTTTTTTAAATATACATGTATCCTTTATGTGCATGAAGGTGGTTATGGGACACTTGAAGAACTCCTTGAGGTGATAACGTGGGCTCAACTTGGCATCCATGATAAACCGGTAAAAGTCTCCCTCAACTTCCATTGCATCACATAATTATAATTATTAAATTGCTGCCTCTTAACAATTTATGGGATACAAATGTGTAAAATAAAGTTTGGTTTTGGAAGGTGGGATTGCTGAATGTTGATGGATACTACAATACATTTTTGTCTTTCATTGACAAAGCTGTGGAGGAAGGCTTCATCAGCCCCACCGCACGCCATATAATTGTATCCGCCCCAACACCAAAAGAGCTTGTCAAAAATATGGAGGTAATAATTGATAACACATTCTTTGTTCTACCTTGCCACAAGCAAATAGCAACTTATGAGATTTTGTTTTATTTTACCCTTACAGGAATATTTCCCACAACACGAAAGAGTTGTATCCAAGGTTAGCTGGGAAAATGAACAGCTACATTAGTCCTCATATTGTGAAAGTTGAGGATGATGGAAATTTGATGTAGAAGATAGTTGTTAGTGACAATGTCAAATAGTTAGACTATTATCTTAGATGACCACAATTTCCTCAACCCGGATTCTTTCTGCTCTTACATTTTCCTTGTTAGTGTAAACTATAAATTTGGCTAAAATCTAGCTATGAAGGTTAACTCTTGTGTCCAATTTGAATTCTGTTTTTCCAATTTTTTTTAAAGACTCCATCCGCTGATCAATATTCAAAAAGACAAAAACAGAGAAATTGAGCAGAGCCTAGAGAATTTAAGAAGGGGTTGGGTGGTGCTCCAAATAATAATAAAGATTATAACCGATTTTTTTCAAAATTATCTTTATAATTTTTTTTACATAATCAATAAATACATACTAGGACAAGCACGGAGGGAGAAATTTATCTGGATGACAGATGGAGGGTCAATTTTTTTAATATAGTTTCATATTTTAATGTTGCAGGCTTGAGCTGGTTTCCACAGAAGGTTGTTGGCCATGTGTATTCGAAATAGACAAGTTTTGTTCAGTTCGATAGTTTATTTGTATTAAAATGTAAACACTAAAATAATAAATGGCAGGATTTATTAATCTATAATGTATTATATCTAAATTACAAATACTAAGCTATAATGAATCAATCATGCTTCTTTTGTTCTCTATTTCTGGAAGCTGTGCTTGATTTGTATGTTTAACTGGTGCCACCTCTGTGCTTGAACCCCTTCTGATTTAAAAAAGTGATGAGTTGTTGGCGATGCTTAACAAAGCGATCATATGCTACCACACATCTGCGAAGAAAACGATAGCTTGGCACATCAACTCATTAACTTTTAGGAAGTACATTAAAACTGTACGAACAAAATACCCCTGCCTGTGATATTATTTGTTAATTTAAGAGTTTTGACTAGTTTCGGGATTTTTGTTAATTTATAAATTTTTAAAGGTATTAATTAATTTTAAATAAGAAATTTTGGTACAAATATTATTTTGTAATAATATTTTTTGTAATTAGTACTTTCTAAAATAGCACTCAAATATCAAATTCAATGTTTTCAATTAAAAAAACATTTTTAAAACCAAGGAGTTATTTGGAAAGGAAATTTTTTAAGAGAAGGAGAAAAGATAAATTTAATGTTTTAAATAAAAATATTTTAAACTAAAAATATAAATTAATACGTTAATATAAATTTAATATATTAATTATGTATTTATCATAATAAATTATATATTTTTAGTTTAAAATTAAAAATATATTCTCTTTTCCTTTTTTTTTTTCAAAATTCCTCTCTTAAATATAGTATCTTTCCGAAGAGAGCTTGTATGACATTATTTATATTTAAAACATTAATGTTCTTAAAAAGATATATCATGTATTTGTTTTTATGACGAATTCATATATTTTTTTATAAAAAATATATAAAAACTTAGATTAAAAAAAATAGAAACTGTTATCAGTTCATGGGTTTTTTTTACAAAACAAAGAAAAACTAATCTCTAAATTAATACTAAATTAAAATCTTTTTTGTCTAAAATATTTTTATCACATCAATGTGAAGTATCACACTTACATGTGCAATACAAATTTTATATTATTATTTTAAAGAAGTATCGCTTTTTGTGATATAATATTTAATTTTTTATATTTTTATTAAGTATGGCAGCTAAAAAGATAATATTTAAATTATTTATATTTATTTAAAGTATCATCTAAGTAATGTACAGGTGAGAGTGGAGTGGGGTGCATGAAAAAGATGAAGCTACATAGTTAATTGGGTGAAAGACACAATAGGTGAGGTTGTCTCGTGATATCATTTTTATTGAAGTGGCGTGTTTATTATCCCTTCAATCATTCAAAGAGGAGTAGAAGACCTAGTCTTCTTGCAGCTATTTGACATATGCGATCTGGACCAGGTGTAAAAACATTAAATGATGAAAGTATATTCATTCTTTGTATCCAATTTGAATAGTCTTAGAATTTTAAGTAAACAATCGTTCCTCTTTTAAATAAATAAATATTATCTTTATAGTTGTTATCCTTACAAAATAATAATAATAATAATATTAATATTAATATTTTAGGAAGTAATATTTATTTTTGAAAAATAATTATAAATTTATATAAATAAAATATTAACATTGACGCGGTAAAACAATTAAAAGAAAATTTAAATTTAATAATTAGTTTTTTTCAATAAAATAAAAAGTGAGCTAACCTGAAAGGCACTTCTGAATTTTCTGGACCATCCGATGGAAGTTGTGAGCTGAGGAGCAGAATCAAACTCATTAGAAGATACACACGTGTCAGCGACATGGCACGATCTCATAGGCCGTTAAAAAAAATAGAGAGAAACGAAGGTGAGGGTAAATTACGAGAGCGGAATTTTGAGTTTAGGCAGCAGAGCCTCAACATTGACATTGACAATGGCCACGCCTCTGTTTGTTCTTCTATGATTCTTCTCAGTGTATAATCGATCGCTCTCTATTGATTCGATCGAGATCGAAGGAGAACCGGAAGCGCTTCTCCAACCGATTCTGTAAGAGTCTCCGAACTCTACTTTTCCTCTTCATGAAGAACGAGTTTTGAAATCTGTATTCCGCTGTAATTTATTGAAGCTCTAGAATACGGCGTCGTGTGCTGTTCTCCCTATCGTTTTACCAGACTGTAGTGTGCCGCGTTAATTAATATGAATGTTTGTTTCTCGTTTTTGTTTGGTTAGATTCTGTGACGCAGATCAACGATGCAATGTGCCTGTGAAATTGCGCACTTGCCTTCTTCGATGGTTGTTTAACGCCATATCAGTTTCGTTTTGTTCGTTTAGTGGATTTTGCTTTTGTTTTTTGGGGGCAACGTGCACTGTGATACGTTGTGGCTTATGATACGGTTTTTCAGTTCTAGTTTGATAGAGAAACAGAATTCGGAATTAGAAATGCTTCGTAGTCAGTAATGACTGTAGTTAAGTATTAGCGCTAAAACCACATTAGGTTTCTCTTGTTTATGAAAATGCTTGATCCATTTGTTTTTGGTGCGATGGTGATATTGACTTTGAGGTTTGAATCTGTCACATCATGCAAAGCCCCTCATCACTTGCACAATCTTTGTAGCTTGAACTGGTTGATATTGTCTTTTCTTTGGAAGTAACTGGTTTCAATGTCTTCAACATATTACTGAAAATCTACAATTACTTTTCATCTTTTTCATCGCACAATTCCTCTCTCTCTCACATACACACACGCGCATGCTCACACACCTTTGCATACACTTGGGTATATCCATGTCTGCCTTCATTTGAATGAGAAGACAGACAGATAGATACGTTCATAGCACACAAATGATAAATTCACATTCAGCTTGACTACTACTCTACATCTACCTGTGTCTTACTTAGTCACTCTTTTGGTTGTTGAAGGATGACATATTTGCGTCAGTGTTTGCATGAAGGTTTGAAGCTTTTCCGGGTGATAAATATCTTGACTTGATTGTGGGTGATACGAACTGGATGGGAATAATGCATCGCAGGTGAGGACAAATTTGCTTTGTAGAGCAACGATGCCTTTCTTTGTTTTGTATCTTAATATTAAGATTTTGTTTTCCGTTTACTCTCACTAGCTTTTTGTGTCAATATAGCCAAAATTCCTGAATTTAGTTTACTGTTTCTTCTTTAGTGCTCTTAAAAGATCAAATGATAGTACCAGGATTCTCATCGCAGCAATTATGGGAACTGCCTTTGGATTTTTTGTTGGTATTTCAATTTCATCCGTCCACTTGACTAAGGTAATATTTGCAACCACAATTCTTTTCAGTGTTGTGTCACACATTTATTGCCCTTTTATTATTATTATTTCTATATCTTGCAGATTAGCTTACTTTCAGGTGTAGGGAATTCTTTAGATGTACCTACAGCTGAAATAGACAGATTTTCAGCTGAAGTAGACAAATCTCCTGCTGTTATTGACGAGTCTTCTGGAACCAAAAATCTTGAAGTCCTAGGGTCAATTAGATTACCAAAGGTAATTTCCAGGCTTATTCTTTACTAGATGTGAATGTATGCAATCATAGTCTCTGAAATTTAAAGCTGCAGGTTTACATTTCATTGGTTGTTAACACAGATACATTTGGTACTGTTCATTTGAACGGTTGAGTTTGATCTTTGTTTCTTCCTTTTCTGAATGGGTACTACTAACCTTTCTCCGTGGCTAATTGTTGAGGTTGAAAAAATCATGAACTAAACCTTCTTGAAAATCCTATTCTATTAAGATTCTTAAGGTATACAAATTGAATTGTCTACTTATACTCTGTTAATGTTTATACTTTTAATTGATGGGTATTTTAAAAATTATTTTTGGTAGATAATTTGTGATTTTCTGTCATATTTGGTTATATTTAGATATGACGTAAAACTTACCAGGTAGAAAATTTGTCAAAAACTTTAATTCCAGCAATGAAGGTAAGTTCGCTTGTTTGTTGAAAATTATGTGAAAGTAAGCTTTTATTTGAACTAATTTAAGCTTATATATTGCTTATGAAACAATGATTAGGTGCAGGTGCTCTTGAGCTTGTCAACTTAGAAAGGTGTCAGAGTGATGGGCAATTTATATAATTAGATGAAATGGTCTATTATGTGAACTAATATCATTCTGTAGTTGTTTGTAAAACAACGATTTGGGTGCCAATATTCACAAATCAGAAGCTTATCAACTTTGAAAGTTGTCAGAAGTATTAAAATTCAGTACTTAAGCAATCTGGTGAACATTAAAGTTGAATGACATTCACCTGTTGCTCATCCATGAGGGATTGTCAAGTGTTTGTTAGGATTAAACTACTTTCTAGAATTATTTTCTGTGATTTTTGTTGGGTGTGATTCTTTCTGCATTGCAGCTATGGATTTCATTTAGCATGTTATTATTACATAATTATACTTGCTTTAGGTTTGCAGCATACTATTTGTCAAGCAAATCAAATCTGATTCAAAACTGCTACTTTCGCAGATACATGTTCCATCAAATCCCCGCGGAGCTGAATCACTACCCCCTGGAATTATTGTATCAGAGTCTGATCTTTATTTACGCAGATTATGGGGTGAACCTAGTGAGGTATATTGAAACCATGCAATAAGTTATCTGTAACTTGTAGTTGTTAACTCTCATACAGTACTGTAAACATGACTCACAATTTGACCGATCAGAAATTGAAGCTAACCCCCAAGTGCATCTCTCTCTCTCATTTGCTAGTGTTGTCTATCATTGTGACACAGCAGGTGTGTCATGGGAAAACAGAGAGCCACATGTAGCATTTTTTTCTTTCATTCTTCCTTCCATGTTGCTCATGATATATCAGACAAATTAAAATTGTCCCATGACACGTGCCCATATTGGTTAGAGATGTGCACTTATCTCAATTATGTCTTTATGCAGCTTTTATTCATGCATGAGACAATTGCATGTGAGTGTGTCAGGAGGTATGCATGTAGATAAGCTGGTGTGGACACTGGAATAGTGCTGACATGTTACACATCTATTTATTCAATATCTATCTTGCAAAATCTTACAATGAAACCATGAATGCTGCAGGATCTGAAGAAAAAACCAAAGTATTTGGTAACATTCACTGTTGGTTATAATCAGAGGGATAATATCAATGCTGCAGTACAAAAGGTTATAGAGATTGACAACATTTATATATGTGAATTTATTTGTATATTTAATATTTCATATTTTATTCAAAAAGTGCTGACTATCATATTGTTCTGTAGTTTTCTGATGATTTTGCCATTTTGCTCTTTCATTATGATGGTCGGACTAGTGAATGGGATGAATTTGAGTGGTCAAAGAATGCAATCCATGTTAGTGCAAGGAAACAAACGAAGTGGTATATGTTTTTCCTATATCCTTTTGAATTTAAATTATGAAAGTATTGAGCAGTTGGAAGCCTATTTTTTTGCTCACATTTTAACTATTGAATTCTTAAAAAACCTTATCATTGTTACGGGTGGTGATCTTACTGCCTCACTCACTTTTATACAATTTTTTTTTCACACTTAATGTTATGCAGGTGGTATGCTAAAAGATTTTTGCACCCTGATATAGTATCAGCCTTTGAATATATTTTTATTTGGGATGAAGATCTTGGAGTAGAACACTTTGACGGAAACAAGTATTATTTTTTTCTGCCTAGTCTGCTCAAATTTGACATTTATGCAACTTTTAGTTTGATTTTGATCAATTAACTGTATTATATTCACCAGGTATATTAATTTAGTGAAAAAGCATGGTTTGGAGATCTCTCAACCTGGTCTTGAGCCCAATAATGGATTGACATGGGAGATGACAAAGAGAAGGGGTGACCGAGAAGTTCACACGTATTCCTTTGGCCTTGCTTTCTTTCTAACTTCAGTCATTGATGTAATAAGGTTCTTTTTATCATGCTTTCAAATGTTTTCTTAGGCCTAACACATTTATGCATGTATTGGCAATTAGGGTTACAGAAGAGAAACCAGGCTGGTGTAGTGATCCACATTTGCCTCCTTGTGCCGCGTATGCTCTCTTCTACCCTGGTTCAAAGTTGAATTTTTGTATTACAATATCATTTACCTAGGCCTTTCTTTTTTTTTTTCTATTAACAATATTATATCTTTTGTTATTTTAGATTTGTGGAAATTATGGCACCTGTCTTTTCTCGTGAAGCTTGGCGTTGTGTCTGGCATATGATTCAGGCATGTTTTATTTTCCATATCACTTATGATGGTTATGGTAACACGCCTAGATGAATGGGTGATTTTTTCTTTTGCATAATATATAATTGTTTTAATTACACTGACAGACTTTCCAAATATCGATTTGTAGAATGATCTAGTGCATGGATGGGGATTGGACTTTGCTCTCAGAAGATGTGTAGAGGTCAGCAGATTCTATCTATTTATGTTTACCCCTTCCAAATGTTGCGATTTTGTAGCCTTTTCATTATTAGCCTTGTTGATAGCTGGGTATGCTTCGATTGGTAATCTATATACATTAATTTTTGCTTGTGTTTTGTCTTAAATTACTATATACATTAATTTGTCAGGAATATTGACGACCAATTGTAATTCTTAAAATGCATTTTATGGTTTTATTTATTCTTGAATTACTCAAAGAGGCTTCCACAGTTCTGTTTATGTCCTTTTCATGTTTATAATGAATCTTCCTCATTTTGTTTTTGTTTTTGGTTTTTGTGTGGACGGCGAACCTATATATTTTGTGCTAAATTATAAAGAGGGGGTTACGAGCTCACAACTCAAAAAAAATCTTCTTAGAACAAGCAATTTGTTTTAGCTTATCTTGCTTTAATTGGAATCCTTTTTTGCATGCTTTTAGCAGCCAGCACATGAAAAAATTGGGGTAATTGATTCTCAATGGATTGTTCATCAAGTAATTCCTTCTCTCGGGAGCCAGGTTAGTCCTCAATAGATTGCAATATATTTAGGGCCGTTTAATTTTAAATTAAATGTGTTTTTATAAATATATGTACTTGTTGGGAGTACATGTAGGCTAATTCTTAACTGATCAGATGGAAAATAAAATGTAGTTACTCTAGTGGTGTTCTATCCATGTGACTTAACAAATTATGTCTGAAAGATATCTAGACTTTGTTGTTTCCAGTTATATTTTTATTTTCCTTTTTCTTGTTTTCCACCTCCTTAACCAAATATAGTTTTGGTGTGAATAGTAGAAGTTGATTCTGAACAATGTTTCAATGAAGTTCATATTGACCAGAGGCTGATATAAAGAAGGTTTTAGTGGGGCGGGGTGGGGGTTTTGAAGGGGTTTATATAAATAAAAAAATAACTAAAGGTGTAGATTGGAATTCCAAAACATTTGGGGGGACTTCAAGTAGTTCAGCCCCTGCTACTGGCATTCAGTCTGAATCTGATAGCCACTATATTTTATCATAAAAACCTTTAGCATTGTACACTTTGCAATGTTGATTATAATGCTTTGATAACTAGAGATGTCTTCAGGAATAACAGTTTGCTATGATTTTAATAAATAGAGCCTTTACTTCTTTTGCAAGAAATTTTGTATTAATTTTCAAATGTAATTTTTCAGGGAGAGGCTGAGAATGGAAAAGACCCATGGGATGCGGTATGTATATTTAGTTATTTACATGCAATAATGCGAATATTTGCATACACAATTGCTCAGTTAGTTTATCTTTTAAGTTTTGAGTTCCATATGCAGTTTTGTGGAGTAGTAAATACAAGAACAGATATATTTGTTGGATTACCATCTGACATTTTTTTCCCCACTGCAACACCCTTTTTCGTAAATAAACATATTTTTTTTGCTTGTCTGGTGACTCTCAGGTTAGAACCAGATGCAGAAGTGAATGGGCCCAGTTTCAAGTTCGCCTAACCAATGCTGATAAGGTTTATCTTGAAGGACTTAAACATAATGGGAAGGGTTGAAATATGGATCATTCTCCCTACTGTACATGTTTTACATACACTAGGTGCTATTTGTTTTGTATTGGGTTTTCCCCTCAGGTGCCGTACGTATTTCTCAGTAATCTTACCGAGGGATTAGTTTATACCATTGTAATTTAAAAATTACTTTTATTATTAAATAACTTTTTATCAAATAATTTTCTTCCAATATTTACTATTAGATTGAAACTCAAAATTTGTTTAGTATTTCTTAAGATGTTTTAAGATTAACGTAATATATATCTTAAAATTTATAAAAATAAGAATCATTTGAATATATTTTTGTTATAAGATTTTATACAAATAATTAATATAAGAGAATGGTTAAATCAATAAAAAAAAAACATTTAATGGTTAAACGATGTAAGAATCTTTAATTTCTGTACCTGTGTTTATTAAATGCACGTGTGTAGTAACGTAAAGGAAAAAGGGAAGCGCCTCGTGCAAGAATCAGGCTTATTGCGGCCTCTGCATGTCGTATGTGCTCGTTTTTCCAGTCAGATCTGCAGCGCCATTCTCTCAGCTATAAGCCCTCAATACGAAGATTTTAATCAGTTACAGTATACATGATATTTTTGCTATGTTTTTATTATTACATCAATCATCTTGTTTTATACTTCTTGTCTTTCCTCTTTATTTGTTGTTCAAAAATTCGTAAAATAAAAAAATGAACAATACTATTTCTCTTTGGATAAGCTGTGTGGGTCTTGGGTTTGTGCATAGCTCTATCTGAAAAAGCACTAACAATTCCTGAATCGATCTTGCGGTTTTTCGGAAACTTCAAATTTTAGGTTCCAGCAATGGTGACAGGTTAAAAATATTCTAAATCCGAAGATGCCTTGGCGTAGAGTAGTTGGAACAGAAGTTGCAAACTGCACTTGGTTGCAAGGTAGAGTAATTTGCAACGTCGCTTCCCATGAGGTAAGCTAGTGAACCCCGTCTCCAAACCTTATTCCTTAGGACCGAGGAGCCCTGTTTTACTACCATTGCCTGCAGCTCAGACATGTGAACCTCTTTTATGGGTTTCAGCTACGGCTTGGAGTTGCTCTATGATTTTAATTGGAGTAGTCTTCGAAAATAGAGGACGATGATGCAAAGGTCAGTGTTGTTACAGTGTAGCGTTATGCTCGAAAGAGTGAAAATTTACATTTAAAGATCGATAGAACGGAAAAGGGTTGAACGACGAGTAACTTTATTAGTCACTTGTCTGCCATCTACAAAAATTTGACACGCATGATTATTGAATATGATTTTTTTACAAACAACCCTTGAAGTTAGTTTTCAAAATTGTATGGTTTAAACATTTTAATTTTTGAATATTTAAAGATTCTCTATTGTTTTTTAGACGTAGTAAAAAAAATATTTTATTTTTGCAGTCACTTTATATTTAAAAAAAGATTGAAGAACATGTCATTTTATAAAGTTAGGGATTAAAAAAGGATTTTTAAAATATTTAAAACTCAAATGTTCAACCTATATAATTTTAAATACTAATTTAAGAATTTACTTTTTTGTAGTCATAAAAAAACAAAGAAGAAAAAGGACAACTGTAAACAATCTAGAGAAAGGTAATGGAAGACAGGGAAAAAAAAAATCAATCATCGAAGATTGATGAACATTCTTTCTTCTTAACGATGGTTCATGTGGTCATGGTGCGGAATCCATTTTACTATGAGGAGTGTTATTTAAATATTTAAAATTAATAATTCATACAATTATTAAATAAGGATATGAATAAAAAAAAATTGACCAAGCTTTGACTTTCTAAAAGGACAACAATTTTGAAACAAAGAAAAAATGTCTACAATTTTGAAATGATAATGATTTTTAAAAAATATTCTGGTAACGTTCCTCTTGCTTGCTAGGTTGATAGAAATTGCAGTAAAAAACACAGTATGTACCTTTTTCAACTTTTAAAAAAAGGTTAAAATTATGTGAAGAGGTAAATTAAAAATAAGAAGAGTTGTAAATTGAAATGAATAGAAACCTACGTATATAATAGCAATTCACTGGTCATGTTTTTTTTATTGTGTATTTTTAGTTCGGACTCACATATTGCGCATAAGCTAATAATCCGATACAAACTAACCTGAACAACACCAAAACAATGGTCTATAAAATCCATAAATCATCTTCAGTCCTCTACTCAAAAGGATAGTCAAACAACACAAAATTTGAGGAAGAAATACTAGTAAAATGTCACTCAACATCTCTAAACTGCATACCACGGTTTTTTGTTAGCTACATTTGATTACATCTAATAGTTTTTTGATGGAGCCAGAAGGAAACAAAAGTTAATTTTGAAAAATAAAATGAAAGTCTCGTATGGCAATTAGGAGTGAGGTTGAAGTCTATTGAATGGGGTTGGAGAGTCTTGCTTGAAATGCCAGATAACTTGCCTAAAAGGAAATGTTGGTTTCACTCACCTTCCTGACTTGTAAGTCAAGAATCGTTTAGTATACAATTTTATGAAAACCATGTGGGACAAAAGAGTTTGGTAATGACATTAGTTATAGAATATGCAGCATCCAATTGGACCTAAACACCCTCTTGATTTTAACATCTTATCTGTCCAATCTTGCTGTTAGCTGCTTTGGCAATTTCATAAAAATGTGATTTTGTTTGTCCACAACCACAAGGACCCAAAGGATAGCACTTGCAACAACACTTTGGTGCATACTACATGGGCATTTTGGTAATTCAAATCACTGTGACAAACCATGTCTTATGTTAATCGTGAATGTGATTTCTATGTGTTGACTATCTTGCTTAAAATGGCCGTTAATTAGGCACCAACAACCCATCAAAAAATATAAAAGCCACAGAATCTTCATTCTCATTCAAGCTTACCCTCCAATCCACACTGTGTCACTCACTCTCTATTCTACCTTTCTTTCTCTTTAGCTTTGACTTCTATAACACAACTCTCCCTGCCTATAAACGCTGCCGTTTAACCTGAGAACTTGGGTGATCTTTTGGAGTTGTAGGAGCCCTTACACCTTCCAGGGTCATTCATCTTTCCATAGTTAAGGTATGTGATGAAATCATGAAAGCAATTAACTTAGTTCTATATGGATGCGAGTTATAACCATTTTCATTTTGTTCTTAAGTTTGTTGAATTTGGTTACCTTATCTTGTGTGATCCTTTCAGGGCTCCTACCACGCAATAACCCCAAGGTCGATCTCAAATTAATATATCATTTATTCCTCTTAATCAATATTAAATAAGGTACAACTTAATTTCTTTACCAACCGTAGAGTAAAGCTAAGGAGCACATTAATGATCACTGAACTATTATGCATTTTAGAGTATCTTATAATAAATTTATAGATGATGTTATACTATTATGAAATTGAAATTTATCAAGGTAACATTGCTACAATTAATAAAAGATCAGTGTATGTCTCATTGGTCTTGAAAAATATGTTGACAGCAAAGATGGGAGAGATGTCAAACTTCCAATTGGGTGTTATTGGGGCACTATTTCTCTCGGTGGCTTCTTCAGTCTCCATTGTCATATGCAACAAAGCCTTGATGAGCAACCTTGGCTTCCCTTTCGGTATTAATCATCTTGTTCCCACTTTAAGAATCAAATAATCTTGGTGATTAATTAATACTCAAATTTATTAGTATCCCCATAACATTAATTTTTTTTCTCCATTTGGAATAGCTACAACGCTTACTAGTTGGCATTTGATGGTCACATTCTGCACCCTTCATGTGGCTCAACGCTTAAATCTGTTCGTGACCAAGTCCATTGACATGAAGACAGTCATGCTCTTTGGCATTCTAAATGGTGTCTCCATTGGATTTCTCAACTTGAGCCTTGGCTTCAATTCCATTGGATTCTACCAGGTTTACCTCAATATTTTGCCATCTCAAATTAATATATCAAGAAATGCACTTCTTTTTTAATTAAATTTTATAAAGTATCTCTAAAATATTTTTTAATTTAACAAAAAAGAATTGATTATTTTGCAGATGACAAAACTTGCGATCATACCATTCACCGTATTATTAGAAACTATTTTCCTAAAGAAGCAGTTCAGGTAAAAGGTTATTGAAAAATATTACGTAGTAGTAATATTAAAATTAAACAATGATCAAGTGTTACTATGAAGCCTTATGCTAATACGTGCAGCCAGAAAATAAAATTCTCATTATTCCTATTACTTGTGGGAGTTGCCATTGCATCTGTGACAGACCTTCAGCTCAATTTTGTGGGAACCATTCTTTCCCTTCTAGCAATCATAACGACATGTGTTGGCCAAATTGTATCCTTTACTATATTCAGTGCTCACTCTATCTTTATTACATCATGTAATTATTATTGTTACTAATAATTATGGTTTAGACTCATTAATTACCTGAATGAAAGCTGAGGAAGATTGGTATTAATTTGGATTCTTAACCCAGTGCTTAATTTAGCTGACCAACACAATACAGAAGAAGCTTAACGTCTCCTCCACACAGCTACTCTACCAATCTGCCCCATTCCAGGCTGCAATTCTCTTTGTTTCAGGCCCTCTTGTGGATCAAATGCTCACCAAGCAAAATGTCTTTGCCTACAAATATTCTCCTGTAGTCTTGGTAAGATTTAATCCCTTCTACTCATTATAATCACTCCATTTCAAAATATTAACAAAGAACTTCTTTTTTTCTTAGAAAACACTCTCACCTAAATACTTAACTATCTAATTTACAATTACTTTATTTTTTTAATATAGATATAAAGAGGATATATTATATCAAATGCATTTTATATTTTGAATCTTTCTAATCTGTATTGTTAGATAATATATTTTAGTATACAAAATTATGTTTGGAGTGCATTAAAAATTACAATAAAATACATTAAAATTATATTTATAAATATTTTAAATTCATTGACTAATGTCTTAAAGACACTAGTTTAGTACTGTTTGATTATTAATAGTTTTGTTATTAAGTTAGCAAAACTAATATACTAAATGTGTGTACATGTAGAAGTATTGACAATGTATAATTTAGTACATTTTCTAATATTCTTTTTATCATTAGTTAAATTTTATTAAAATAGCAATAAGTTTCATGAAATGAAGAATAAAACCCATTTCAAATCACGAGTCTAATAAATTTTAGTTAATAAAAAAATATTTAAAAAGTGATGTAAATATTTAAAATTACCATATGAAACAATATGACTGATATTCTTTGGTCTTATTTTTATTAACAAAACATTTCAGGCATTCATTGTCCTGTCGTGCTTGATAGCTGTTTCAGTGAACTTCAGCACATTTCTAGTAATAGGGAAAACATCTCCTGTAACCTATCAAGTGCTAGGCCACCTCAAGACTTGCCTTGTTCTAGGGTTTGGCTACACATTACTTCATGACCCTTTCACCGGAAGAAACATTGTTGGAATATTAATTGCCGTTTTTGGAATGGGCTTGTACTCTTATTTCTGCACTGAAGAGAACAAAAAGAAACAGTTAGCTAGCGATCTCCCATTGGCCTCTCAGGTACATTTAGGTTTTTTCTGCCCATTTAATTTAAAGTTGAGAATAATTAATTTTAATTAAATCTTTTTTGAGCTAAATATGATTGAGATGGGGATATAATTTAATTTAAGTCACACTTTTTATTAGAACATGAGTTTTTATTGGAAAAATATAAAAGTTAACTTTGTAGCTTTGAAACAAACAATTCTTTCATCCTTCTATCATTGCTTCTTCATTTTTATTTTTATTTTGCTCTTTATAGATATATATTAGAATTTTATTTTTATTTGTTACAGGTTAAAGACAAAGATAGTTCACCACTTTCGGCTGGGAAAAACATGGGTAATCAAAACGAGGAAAATCATGAGCCTAAGAAGTTAAGCAAGGATTCTGTTATTTAAAAGAACAGGCTCAGTGTCTTCTAAGATTTGGTGTATTTTGGGTTTCTTTCAATTTAATTTCTAGGGGAGTTGTAATGAGTGTAAATCAAATTTTGTTTAATAAGTTTTCTGTAACTTCAAGTCAATGCATTCCCTTTACCAACCATATATGTACGTTAAACTACAGGAAATACAGATTTCATTGAAATTGTAATCTTTTAGACATCATTTATTTTGTGATTCGTTGTTCTGTTGATCTCAATAACAATCATAGAAGGTAGCTGTTGCATTTCGTCTTATAATTACTGTGGTCTATCATTCTCAACTTTGTTATGAAAGCTCAAATTCAGCATAGTCTCGATAATATAACTTTATGTCACTTAATCTATACACTCAACGGCAAGTTTACATTCTTTCAAAATTTAAACAAAGATTTTAAAAGATAAAGCTAAAATATTGAAATTATAAGAAAAATATGTATAATGAAATAAATAAACGAATTTCCTATACTCTGTATTTGACGTTTAAATTAAGGAATTAAAAAATTTAAAATAGAAAATAACTGTTATATTGAATTTATATATATAAAAAAAATTCATTACGGAAAAAGTTTTTATTTTTCGATCCATTAATCTATACGCTTGAAAGATAATATCAGATAAAAAAAGAAGTTAATGTTATGGTTACAGTGACATTTGGTGCTGTAATTTATAAACTATTTTGCGGCTATTTAACTTCAAAAACCATGACAAATGTGATCTTCTATTTTCATCATTAATAGTACTTAAGCATTCCCCTTGTTTTTAAGTGTTTTCTCTTGTAAAACTTGAGTTTGTGGAAAAGGCGATACACATTCATTTATTTTGAGGTTTATCGTTAATCCATTGTTCCCAATACCATCATAAGCGATATATTTTTGTGTTACTTTAATACTCTTTGGGTAAAGCGATAAGAATCCAAAGACAATTGTTAATTATTAATAAATAATTAAATTAATTAATTAAACAAAGAAGAGAAACGCAAAAAGATGAGTTACCACTTTGAAAGAATCATCAAACTTAAAAAACCATACAAAAATTGGTGGGCCAATGGTGATTGTGTGTGTAACATGTTTATCATTATAATTAGTTTACAATTTGTAGTCAAACGCTTGAACATTAAGCATCGCAAGTTTAATGGGCTCAGCAAAACCAGCCCAGCAACGTAGTTACCACGTTGAAGAATGAACTATGGAGTTCATCCCTTGCCAACTAATTTCATTAATTAATTATTATAATTATAAATGATAAACGAGTGTTTGATTAGTAGTTGTTCATGGATTAGGTCGGGGAGATAATAAATTGATTGATGAATGCACAATTTAATATCCTTACCGTGTATATTAATTGTCTCATGAAGTATTTAGTAATCAACAATTTAGCACCATACAAGAATAGATTCAGATTCCCCATTTTGTTTACCATAAAGCAAACATTATAAAAAATTGTCACATATATGTAATAATGTATATATAGTTAGATACTTAAAGTCGATGACCATCTGAATTGATGGAGATAATGACCGTTGGTCTACTTGTGACTTCAATATTTTTCAAAGCTAACTCCCTCAGTTGGTAGCTAGACTTTAGTTTGTCAGGGTCAACCTTAATTTAAACCTAATCATCATTAAAAAAAAATTGCATTTGACCTGAACAGATAAAGTGAACTAGGATATATATTATTATGTCACATGGGCTCCTTTAAATTCTTTTCAAATTATTATACTGAATGTTGTGTTAAGCTCCGCCACCAGAAAAAGCCTTTAGCCTCTTTTCAACAAATGGTTTGGAATTCTCTGAACTGAATTGGTCTAAGCTCCTTTAATCAATTCAGATAAATTGAATTGATGAAGAGAGAAACTAGACTCTGGCATGTTCTTTTGCGAAACAGGTTATTTGGGTGATTATATGCAAATATAAGTGAAATTTAAAGAAATCCCTATTACTTTTATTATATATATAAAAACTTTGTTAAAAACATATACTAATTAATGAATTAAGTATTTCACTATTATAATTAACGATTCTATTTATAATAGTTAGAATTACATCGAAAATTCATTCTTATATTGTTAATAACTTAATATAAAAATTATTTTTTATTAATCTAATCGTTGAACTATATTTATAAATTATTTATATCAAATTTTATCAAAATTGAATATTAATAAAATTATTATAAAGAGTCTTTATTTTTATAAATTTTAACAATATATATTACATTAATTTTAATATATATAAATAGAGAATTAAATAATTTTAAATTAATATCAAATTTTACATATATAATTTAATGTAATTGAAACTTTTAATTTAACTATTGGTTTTATGATTAAATTATTTAATAAAAAATTATTAAATAATATAAAAAATAAATAAATATAACTTATAGAAGTATGGTTTTATATATATTTCATAAACTATTCAATTATCTTGATAAACACGTACATTTTTTATTTTTTTAATTTTAAAAAAACACTCTTTTATTACTCTCTGTACATGATAAAATTGGTTCGCAGCTACCCATAATACGTCGAATTATTACAATTAAAAGTACCACATACCTGCAGCAGTTTATTATAACACTTGTTGACATTAATTAGCACGTTAGTTAAAGATAAAATTTGTAAATGCATGCGTATGCTTTAATTTGAGAACTTAAAGAAGAAGAAGTGAGGTAGGTAAGTATCAGAAGGTGAGTGATAACAATGTACTATAATCGATTCTTGCATGCATGCTCCATGCATATGCTTTGAATGTTGTTTCCTTTTGCAAAACAGCTTTTTTATATTGGTAGCTGTATTTAAAGGAGGACATGGCGCAGAATGGGGAAGAGGATATCGATAACTTTGATTTCGATGATGCATGCCAGACAGAGAAGTGGTTATTGCAATTCAAGTACACATCATGACCAAATAAAAACTAGGCCCTACCAAACTTATTCCTTTTTAACAAAAAATTTTAAAAATACTAATGATAGATTTAAGAAACATTTGCTTCTCGTACATGTTTGAAGATACGTGTATATCGATTATGAGATCTTTGCATTCAAAAATTTATACACCTATTCCTACATTTCCATTTATAATAGATGAGAGAAAAAAAAAAGTGAAACTCCCTAACTTAATAATAATAGTCAAATATATTAATGTAACTATTAAATTAAATTTTCTTTTGAATGCTTATAATTTGGGTGAAGGCTAAGTAGGTTAAAATGATAACTCATGAATAAGTAAGTAAGCAAAATAATATGTTATAATAAGTTTTAAAAATTATAGTATTTATAATTAAATTTTTATTAAATTTTGTAAATTTAATATTTTAATATCTTAAATATTTAAAACAGATTCTTTAAAATAATTTTTTAAAATAATTATCTTTTAAGAATATAACTGTTCATCTACATAAAACTTAATTATATTCTTTTAAACTATCACTCTTATATTTGTTTCTGAAATAACTTTAATATTTTTTTTCTATTTATATAACTAATTTGACAATAAATTGAGTAATTATAGCTGAAATTTAACTGATAAAAGTCTAAAAAAAAATATATTCAAAGAAAAAAATTAAATAATCTTCATTTGAAATATTGTTTTAGAACTTTTGTTCAATTTTTACTTGTCTTATTTCAATTTTTTCTCATTTCGTACAAATATATTTCATAAATCTATCATAAACTTAAATAATCATACTCTCTTTATATTATCATACTTTGAACTGTGATATTTGTAATTAAAACTAATTAAATGTAAAAACATTATATACCTATTTCAATTATCTTAGAAATTAAAACTTTAATATAATCATAATAGAAGTAATGACTAAAGAGATATAGTTAAACAATAACAATTGCAAAGAATTAATTCACTATAATTTTGGTTTAAGTCACATATTATTCGTTTAAATGACTTATAGACAGTTATGAACCTATAATTTTTATTAAAATTAGTTTAAGCTAAATATTATTCGATTAAGCAAATATTATAATATCTTGTGTGATTTAAGTAAAATAATTTTAGTGAGTTATTTTTTTCCTATAATTTTTGTTTAAACTAGCAAAAAGTGATTCAAGTTAAAATTACAGAAATTGTACGATGCAAAAGTGATTATTATGCACAAAAGATATGGGGTTTAAGTAAAATAATTCCATTGAGTCATTTTTTTATTGTAATTTTCGCTTAACAAAAAATGGATTAAGCAAAAATTGTGCAACCATTATGCAAAGAAGACATAGGGTTTAAGTAAAATAATTATAGTGAGTCATTTTTCTACTGTAATTTTTGCTTAAACTAACAAAAAATGGCTTAAGCAAAATTTGTAGAAATTGTGCGATATAAAAGCCATTATTGTGTAAGGAGGACAAGGAAAAGATCTAAAGGATATTAAACAATCTATCAATACGAAAGTTTATTTTTGTGATAAAATGAGATTATGTGAGATAGTTGATTTAAAAGTTTTAATTATAAAAATCATTAACTTTATACATAAAATTTGTAAAAAATTTTGAAAATTTTAAATGACATTAAACATTCTATTAATTTAAAAATTATTTTTATTATAAATTAAAATTATATAAGTGCATATAAACACATACCTTCTTAAAATCATCACATAGATACATAATATATACAAGAGACACACCTTGAAAAAATAACATGTTTTAAAGATAAAAAATAATAAATTTTAAAGATATAAAGAGTAGTTTTATAAATTTTTATAAAATTAAATAATAAATATATAAAAATTAATATTATTAAGTTCCAAGTCAAAAATATAAACTGATTATTTTTTTTAAAATACATTTAACACTTTAAAAAAATTCACACTCATATAAGTTAGTTAGAACTTATAATTTATTTAAAAGGTAAAAATAAAATAAATAATAACTAACTTTCAGTAAACTTAATATTACTTGAGTAACTTTTCATAGGCTAATTTATAAAAAATTTATATTGTTATTATTATTTGTTTAATAAAAAACTTTGGAAGCTTTTTTAAAAAAATATATAATTTTATGTTACTGAGTACACTCAAAGTCTACAAAATAAAATATAAATATAATACTGGAAGTATTTTTAACATTGTTATCTAATTAAAACTAGAGTTTCACTTGATAATTTACACTATAAAAGTTGGTTGAT